TCCCGGGGTCCCCCCAGCACACACACACCAGCACGCCCACACGCTCGGGCCGAGTGCAGGGCCGGGGGGCTACAGTTTGATGGAAGCAGATGCCAGCATCGGACCCGTTCCCTGAACGCCCTGACCGTAGGTCAGGTGACCTCCAGAATACTGATGGAGAGTCTCCAGAGGCAGAGGCTTTAGCGGACGAAGTTCGCATAACCGGCTCCAGATTCTAAATAGGAGGGCGTCGAGTCGGTGGTCGAAGCTAGCCTCTTCGTCCCCCACCACCCCTTCCCTTTCCAGGGCAACATGCCTGCAGACAACGGCACCCCTTGGGGATCCGCAGCGGGGGAGGTCTGGGCGGGTTCAGGAGTAGAGGTGGAGAGCCCAGAGCTGCCCACCTTTTCAACTGCAGCCAAGGTCCGAGTAGGAGTGACCATTGTACTGTTTGTTTCTTCAGCTGGAGGGAACCTGGCTCTGCTGTGGTCAGTAACGAGGCCACAACCCAGCCAGTTCCGCCCCTCTCCAGTGCGGCGACTCTTTGCCCATTTAGCAGCTGCCGATTTACTGGTCACTTTTGTGGTTATGCCCCTAGATGCCACCTGGAATGTCACTGTCCAGTGGCTGGCCGGGGACATCGCATGTCGGACGCTCATGTTCTTGAAACTAGTGGCCATGTATGCTGCAGCTTTCCTGCCTGTGGTCATTGGCCTCGACCGCCAGGCGGCAGTACTGCGCCCGCTTGGACCCCGCTCGACTGGAAGGAAACTTCTGGGAGCAGCCTGGGGACTTAGTTTCCTGCTTGCCTTGCCCCAGGTGAGTGATTTGTTGGAATTCGAGGCTAGACAAGATTTTGGATACACAGCATGGCCCTTTGAAATTAAGGTGTGTGCTTGGCGGTGGTCAGCCGTCAATCCTCACGGGTTACCGTTCTCTCTTCTACAAGATCAGATCATGGCATTTTAATGTATATCAGGTAAGAGACATCTCTTAAAAGCAGTACCCTGAACCTTCAGCTTTGCTTTACACTTGGCTTCTACTTCTTTGCATCCCCCCCTGCTTCTGGGGTTTGCTGCAGGGTAATTCGGGGGCAGGGAGGAAACGTATGTGGGGCCCTATTTAGAGGGCAGGTAAGTCAGAGGAGCTTTGGATAAATCTTTATGATACATTTATTCATAGACTCAAAAACTGTGCATAATTCCCAGACAAATTCAATTGCTCAAGATGGAGCAGCAAAGTTCTACCTCCGAGGAGGCGATTTAGTACAAATTACACATCAGTGTGTGGTGAAGTTTTATTAAAGGCAAGCACAGAAGCTAAAGAGCAGTGGGGTGGGGGAGTCCAGGAAAAGGTTCCATGAGGTGTTAAAATTTGATTCTTGACAATGTTAGCTTAGTCAAGGAGACGGGATGCTGGGGAAGAGGATGGAGAATCTCGAAGTGGGCGCAGCTGAAGTTGAGGGCTAGAAAATGGTGAACAATGAGCCTGGAGGTGGGCAGGAAGGGCTTGTCACAGGTATCATTTGCACTTTACCCTAATGGCAGTGAGCAGACATGGAAGTTAAGGGTGGAGTGACATCATCAGATTCTTCATTCCAGCTCAACAGTGGTGGAATGGAAAAAGCATTTGCATTTGAACAGCCATTAATCAAGACTCAATAATGAAGATTAGCTAGAAAGCTAGAAAAAGGCAAAATATAAAGCAGTCTGAAAACAAAACCACTGCTGCCCTCTGGGGAAGGGAGTTGAGTGTCTCTTGGAGACAAGGATGACTGTGATTTCACTGTCTGGAATGACAGTGCCTTACAGAGACAGACTTAAGATAGGGTACTAGGTCCAAGTATTACAAAGGTAACTGCCGAGTCGGTCTAACTATAGTTCTGAGCCCGCGTGCAGTCTTCGGGTGTGCTGCAGACTTCTGCTAGCCCAGCAGCCTGTTGCCGCAATGCAAAGCAATTTGTTGGGTTTATATAAAGCAAATTTTAGAGGGGACTAGGACTTAGAAACCTGTTTTTGTTGCACTTAAGTGCTTGTTTGTTTCTCCACTGATAACTATGTGGTTGGGCTACATCACTTGAAACCCAAGGGCCACAGGAGAGTGAAATAATGGCAATCAATCTCCGGTCCCTTTAAGGGCAAACCGATGATGACTTTACAGTTCACCACAAAAGGTGTCACTTTAGTTCCAAGTGGGAGTCGTCTTGCATAGGTTTGCATTGTCCATAGGCTATTTAAAGTTTTAATGTTAATAAAAGCATTTTTTTTTTAAGCATGGTGCTAATGCTGTGAAGGTGTCTGTAGTTAGAAACTATTTTTCTAGGCTTAATTTTCCAAGTCTCAGAAGTAGCTGACAGGAAGGTTTCTTTAGTCAAGAAATGGAGACATATATAAGGGAAAGAAAGAAAAAAAAATTAAAATAGGGGAAGAAGAGGCAAAAGAAAGGTTCTGGACTAAACTAATTCCAGGAGCCTTGCCTGTTTTTAAATTCCTTCTCACATTGTTTTGGCGCCCCAACCAAAACCCCAGACATAGATGATACAGGAAAATAAGGGAAAGACTGCGCCCTGGCTGTTTTAGGCCTGTAAGAACTCCAAGCAGTCATGAACTTGCATGTCTAAGGGTGACCCTATTCATCTTTCCTATATCCCTCATGCCTGCGGAAATCACTTTCCCAAATGCCTTACTGTAGCCAGGAATCTGATACCGACTACGCTTGCATTTTATCAAATAGTGATTTAATTTACACGACACCTTGCCCCAAATACCCTAAAGTTCTTAAATTAAAATACTAAAACAAATCCAAATCCCAGCAGGTTGCCAAAAGGGGTGAGGGGCAGTCAGCAGCATTTAGAAAATGTAAGCGTTTATTTCGCTTAAATGGTGAATATTGTTTCACCATTATGCTGGCCAGGACCATTACAAAGAGTCACTTCAGAGTGGCGCAAAATGGCCTGAAATGTTAGCAACGTCCACTTTACACTTCTTTCCACAGAACGAATCAGAAACATTAGGAAAATCATTCAGCTGCCAATATTGGTAAGGTAGTCAATACTCCTTCAAGTACAAGGTCGGGATAGTATTCGAGAAGGCAGGGCCGCCTCAGAATTTAGCAAACGAATCCACTCCATTGCCTCAAGGGGATGGTACCACAGACGAACCACCGCTCAGCACTGCACTGCTCTGCACAGATTCAGTAAAGGGCGGAGACCACGTGACCGGTGGGTAGTTTATGGGGGGAGGAAGCAGGGGACCAGTTCTAATGATTCTCAACTCCACTTCAGCTGTTCCTGTTTCACACTGCCCACCGGGCTGGGCCAGTCCCCTTCACTCAGTGTGTCACCAAAGGCAGCTTCAAGGCTCACTGGCAAGAGACCACGTATAACCTTTTCACCTTCTGCTGCCTCTTTCTGCTCCCACTGACTGCCATGACCATCTGCTATAGCCGCATTGTCCTCAGTGTATCCAGTCCAGGGACAAGGAAGGGGAACCATGGTGAGACTTCAATCCCCGAGCCCTAAGCATGTCCTGAATCTTCCCTGTGGTCTCGTTTACTTATGTGATCACTGCACATAAGTCTGCTGAACGTCTTCAGTTTTTTTTTTTTAAAGATTTATTTATGCACACAAGAACTGGGGTACAGGCCAGAGGACAGGGGTGAGAGGATTCATCTGAGACAGAGGGAAACAGAACACATTGCTGAAGGGAGCCGGCAGGTCAGGAGAGGTCTGCTGTGCCATGGGGGTCTCTCCCTGGCTGGAGATCCAACTTGTGCTCTAGTGGCTGTAGACAGCTTCACAGTGCTATGCTTCTAGAAAGCCTGCTGTGCCACCAGGGAGAGCCCTTCAGTTCTTTTTCTAAGATTTATTTATGCATACCAGAACTGGGGCATAGGCCAAAGGTATGAGAAATGGGTGAGAGGATTCACCTGCAGTGAGCATGGGGAGCAGAACAGGTATGTCTACGTAAGTCCACTGCTGAGGGGGCAGCAGGAAGACATGAGAGGTCTGCTGTGCCATGTGGGTCAGCTCCCTGGCTGGGGCTCTTAACTAAGGCCACAGCGCCTGGCAATAACTTGGTATCACTGAGACTTTAACCCCTGTGCCACAGGGAGGCCCCTGAATATCTTCAGTTCTAACCAGCCTCTGAACTCTTGGGTGCCATCAAGTTCTAAAGTAGACTTAGTAACTTCCTGTTATTGCACCTCAATCAAAGCCTTTTCTTCAGCTTATCCATCAAAATCCCTGGGGGGAAGGGAGGCCAGTTCCAACACAGGTTCACAGCAATACCTACTGTTCCAGCATTCTCATCCATGCAGGGGGAAACTCATGTCTGTCCATCCATCAACCATCCTACTCTTAGTCAGAAACTCAGTGGTTCTGAATAAGTATATTTTCTAAATTTCCAGCCCATGCCGGTGAATTTGCCCTACGTCGCTCCTTAGACAACCGGCCTCGTGTTCGTCTGCGGGCCCTGCGACTGGCCTTGCTTGTTCTGCTGACCTTCGTCCTCTGCTGGACACCTTATTATCTGCTGGGCCTGTGGTACTGGTTCTCTCCCAACATGCTAACCAAAGTTCCTCCCAGCCTCAGCCACATCCTTTTCCTCTTTGGCCTTCTGAATGCTCCTCTGGATCCTCTCCTCTATGGAGTCTTCACACTTGGCTGCCAAAGAGGGCACCATGAACTGAGCATAGACTCCTCCAGGGAAGGAGGATCTGGAAGAATGACCCAACAGGAGATTCACGACCTTAGACAGCTGGAAATACAAGAAAAGGTGGCAGCAGGAGAAACAATAGAGACATCCCTGTAACATCCATTTGCTCAGGACAGAGTATATAAAGAACAGAGCAATTCTTTAAAACCATGAAACTACCTTACTTCTACCCCTGCCTGCTCCTGGGAGTATCTCTACTTTGACCTCACCTTAGACCTGAGATGCTATATAATGTAAAAACTCTCCCAGGGAAAAGTATTTTCACAGTGACCCACACTGCCTTGCTGTAAATAGTGCTTCAGAGCTAGCAGTTAGAAAAGAAAGGTAATTTTAAATGTAGAAAACAAAAATGGGACATTTATTCATAATTTGAAAGATACACTGAGCAGTAGGGTAGGAGATTAAATATAAACACGGTGAGTTCCACCTCAGCCCCCTTTCTCCAAGCTGCACAGTCAGTTGGAACCTCTGGAGAGAGCACCTGGACAAGCAAGGACCAGTCAGCGACGACCAGTCAGCGACGCCTCCGGTCTGGACTCCTGCTGCGCCTCCGGCCACCTCTAGCGAAACAGCAGGAGGAAAGGTGTGTTAGAGGGACTTAATACAATGTTTTTAACATTCCACGCACGTTCTTTCACTAAGATAGCGTCTGCCCTCTCCACGTTACCTCCTCTTGCCCTTGGGTGGGCCCCGAACAAAACACCAATCCACGCTGATCGGCTGTCCCATCAAATCTTGGCCATTGAGTCCCTCCATCGCAGCCTGGGCCTCTTTGTATGTTTCATACTCAACTAGAGTATACCCCTGGGGTAGGTGCACAGACCATTCATCAAAACCTTCCTGTTCCACCAAGCATCATTGATCTTCCTCAAATAGAAATCTCACTCAAACAGAAAAATCTATAAACAATGAATGTACATCATATATCCCTACTGTACCTTATGTGTCTGTCTATCTTTGTTATGTCTAACATTCAACTTCCAGTTATCATTTTATTTCGACTGTGCTCTTACACACAGCAAACATGGGCAAACTACCAATGCTGTCTAGCGAGCTATGGGTGAAGAGAAACAACGATGTCACTGGGGATACCTTCAGGTATCCTGTCCGCCTGTCCAAGTTGAGGTGGATGTTTTTTATTTCCCCATACTCTGCAAATTTGTCATGGATGTCTTCTTCAGTTGCTTCTTCATGGACTCCAGTGACAAAGAGAATCCAGCCTTCAACAGCTATTAGGGAAGGGAGGAAGTTGTTTGAACACCTGAGAGAAAAACTCTTAAGATCATAAAAGCAGAGTGAGTGTAGACGCCAGAGAATGCTCATATTATCTCTGTCCTCATTCCTACCAAGTTTCATATTACTGGTCTCTAACTGTCCACAAAGATCCCTACAGGATCTGTTCTACTTACAGCGCTGTGGTCCGGGTTCATCGCCATCCTGCTCCACACTGTCATAATCTTCACGCATCCGCGCTCGGGAACCCTCTTCTAGAAGGTAGACACAAGAGATCACCGGAAATGCCCTTCTCCCAATGTCCCTCAAGAGTCTGGATGGGGACTCCAAAACTCTCAGCTCTGGCCAACGTTAAAGCACTCGACTTTGTTTCCCCGACAGCTCTCACCTGAGCCGAAGCCACGGCCCTTCCGCTTCTTCGCTTTTTCTTTCAATTTATGGATGCTTTCTAGAGCCCCCAAAGTGGGAGGGGGGAAGAATAACAAACAGCAGTTATCTGTAAGTCCCCCTCCAAGACACTCCCACGCGGACCCCCGCCCCTGGCCCCGCCCATGCCGCCAAAAGGGGCGGAGTCTGCAATTCAGCAGGGACGCGCTAGCCCGCGGCCACGGTCCTCCCCGCCCGGGCGAAGGGAGAACACGCTTTCCTATCACGCCCTTCTCTCGCACCTTCCCCGCTTCCCGCAGCCGCCTCCACTGTCCTCACCGTCCCCATCCTCATCCATGGCGAAATCCTCGCCCCCGGCCTCATGAAGATCCAGCACGTCCGCCATCTTGCCTCCGCTCAAACTCGTCCGTACCGCTCGCTCTAGGTACCTCGAGAGACTGTCGCGGAGGGGAAGGGTCGTCGGTTAAGTCGACCAATCAGAGGCTAGCTCTAGGCCACGCCCCCGGCGCGGTGAAAACACGCAATTTGGGGCGGGCCTGGCCCCGGGAAGGTGCCGGAAGTAGCCCCGGAGCCATCTTGGTCAGCTCGCGAGGGGGGTGCTTCCGCTCTGCCACAGGCAGGGGGGCGTTGGTGGAGCCAGTGGCTCCGGCTTAGCGGCGGAAGCTGCGGAGAGACTGACTGAAACTGCCTTGCCTATGGATTAGAAAAGGTCGCTCTGTTTCCTTTCACCCGCATACTAGGAGTTGGAAATTGAAGGTTTTTTCCTTCAGGCTTGTACCCTGTTCCGAGAAGACGGCCGATCTGCGATCTAAACACTAAAAAAACAAAGTTTATTTAGCGGCGCTGACTCAAAGAATTTGAGTCTGGAACTTAACTGCAGCACCAAATACCTCCTTTCTTAAGGAAACAGGTGAAATACAACTGATGAGATAGACACGAACTTTTTGTTTTTTAATAAAGAAGAAACTCGGGCATCCCCACTACCTGTTGGGGGGGGGGTGCCGGGAGCCACAACTTAAGCTAATTCAGAATTTAAGCTTCTTTGAGGATGGTTGCAGGTATTTCACATTTAAAACCTAAGCGTTAAGGCACAATTCATTACCCCCGAGTTCTGGGATCCGTGGAGACCGTCAGCAATAGTGGACTGGAGATTCTCTTGTTTATTAACTTTTTAATCCAACAGTTATGAATGTCTTATGTGTGTCTGGTATTAGGGGTGTGCTGCCAATACAAGAAAAAGTAGTTGTATTATTAACAATCCTGTTATAGTTGCGCCTGCTGTCACAAAGTGCTAGGCAGTACAAAAGAAGTTTCTAAAGAGAGGTGATGGGAAAGGCCCCCATCTGAATGGATCTTTAAGGCTCTGTAGTGGTTACTGAGACTAGGAGATACTTAAATCCATTCTCCACAATAGACACTGGGATTAAAAAAAAATCATTTGGCCCTAACCATACTAAAACCCTTCCTTGTTTTTGCACTTAACATAAATTTTAGACTCATGGTCTGCCTACATCACCCAGCTTCTTCCACCACCACTCTTCCCTCGCACTTACAACGCTCTCCCTATATTCTCCCTCAGTTATGTCACGCTCTTTCCCATCAGGATTTTTGCAACGTTCTGTTCCTGATGCCCTTCTTCACTTAGGCAGTTCAACCACATCTCCTAGGTCTCCCTAAACGTCACCTGAAGGGAACTTCTGTACTCTCATATCCTTCCTTGTTTTACTCCGTCACAGAATTTAATTCAAAACTTTAATGACCTTTTTTACTTTCTAACCTTGTTTTCTAACCTTGTTTACTTTCTGTTTATTATCTGCTTTTCCCATTAGAGTGTAATCCTAATGGCAGAGACTCTTATTTACAACTATATCCCCAAAGTTTCTACCAGTGCATGGCTTATAGTAACACTTGAAAAATACTTACTGAATGAATATTGAACAGCAAGAAATTCTGTATGCCTGACTATATAACTAGGAAATAAAACTAGAAGTACACATTAGGGTCAAATTATATGCCATGCTAAGGATTTTGGAATTTGTCTGATAGACAAGAAATTTCTCTACTTCATTTGAGTAGTCATGATTTTTAACTATTTTTGCAAATAGCTCCATCCTATTTTTTGATTAGTATTTTCTCTTAGGTAGGCTGTTTTAAAATTAGTTTACACTAAATTTAAATATCACAGTCATAAATAGAAGTCTATATTTTTCTACTACCATTCAGATAAAATCAGCCTAGTACAAATAAAAATCGCTGTCCCATCTGCTACCTACAATCATCTCAGATAATGAGGGCTCATGTATAACACTGGAAGAAGCTCCTGAAAGTAAGGGTAGCTAAGTGATGGTTTCAGCAAGGGACTGTTATGTATATTTCAGAAAGAAACATGGATATTGAAGTCAAAGACAAGTGAGGATGCAGCTGCAGTGTTTCACTTAGAAACCATGAGGGACTGAATGAGAGCAGTCCATGTGGACAAAACATGAGGAAGTTTTGTAGGAAGTAAACTTACAGTCAATGACGGCTTCGATGACAGTGGGGAGTAGTTGGTAGATCTGAGTTTCTAGCTTAGGAAATAGGGTAGTTAATAATTCTAATATTAGATTTGGGAGTCAAGTAGGAGCACATATGCAAAAATGGGTTTTATTTTGGACATGTGAACAAAGCTGTGTCATATTCACGTGGTGATGTCCAATGAATGGAAATATAAGTGAAAATTTCAAAACAGATTGGGGCAAAAAAACAGATTTGAGAATTGTGTGTATGATAAGAGTTTGATCTACCATAGTGGGTGACATTGCCTGTAGAAATGGATAGAGCTTGTGGAAAAAGGGCCACGGACAAAATCCAGGCTTCTCAAATGCCCAGGGAAGAGAAGGTAAAGTGCCTTACCCCGGCAGTACAATCTTATTTGTCATCAAAAAAAAAAAAAAAAAAGGTAAAGTACTTTTTCCAGAATGTATGTAAGAGAAAGGGTCACTTTCGAGCTTCTCTGATACACTGGCCTCAAGAAAGAGTCAGTCTTGCTTTCTAGACAAAAGTCTATTTTTAATTGTATAAAATTTACATAGAAAGTACTGAAAAGATGTGTAAAATACTTATCACCAAAAGTGGACAGATCAGGAAACAATTTTTCTCAAGTTCTTTGGGATCTTACTTGTTGGTATTTGAGAAAAAAATAATAAACCCAGAAGGTGCAAGAAAAAGTTCTTCCCACAACTCACACCCCTTAACATTTCCCAGAGAAAGGAATATAGGAGAAATGAGGATTTGTGATTTTTTTGTATTATAAACATTCAGTAAAAAATGAATAGACACACCTATTATTTAATGTAGGCGCCTCTACTTCAACTCTAGATGTGCTTCAGAATATAGTCAGGACATGGAGAATTCAAGGAAGCCCTTACAAGTACTAATACAATTGTTACTATATTCCTTACCTCTGATCTCACATGTCTTGGTCACCAAGATAATTTCAAAAGCTGACTTTCATCTTGTCCCTACCTGATCCAAAAGGAAATTTTGGTCTGTGTCCTAAACTAGTTCTAGAAGCAAAGTATATAAATAAGCAGAAAGTCTCCTAGTAAGAGCATTAAACTTCCCAAAATCAGTTTAGAAAAAGTGCACTGAGCACCAAATAGTATAAAGGAGATTTCAGAAAAAGGGAGAAAATAAATCTTTGAGAGACCTAAAAAAAATTCTCCCAAAGAGGAATGCTTTAGCTATATTTCACATCATTTCCTCCTATTTTACCCAGGACAGAGGCTGAGGAAGCCACATGGATTAAAAATACAAATAGCTAATCATTGATTCTTTCCTGCAGCCTTCCCAGGTTGCAGAATGCCAAAGTCTAATCTCACTTTTCTGATTGACTCATCCTCTTAATAATGTGAAGGAAGAGGAAAGAAAAAACAAATGGAATCTACGGTATGTACATCTAAGGTAATAAACAGAAGCAGCTTCTTGGAAGTGAGAAACATGGCTCTCACCAAGGAGGAACAGATCCTGTTTCCAAAGAGCAAACGATGGCAGGGAGTGAAAGGAAAAATATGTTTTGCCTTCTACCAGCCTCTGCAGGCAGGCAGGTGGAAATACAGGACCCCACATAGCTGCAGTGGCAGGGGAGGGCATATTCAAAGAGAAGCAGCTTCAACCCTGACCCCTTCTGTGGTGTAGGGTACAGTTGGTGGCTGTGGTCCAGAGCACCTTATCTGATAAGCCTCCAGGAGCTAGGTTTGCAATGCCTCCCTGCTCCTGGGCAGTTTCTCGTGAATGACTTTTAAAACAAGAAACTGATCTCCACTTCCAAATAATAAAATCAGGGAACCTTAAAAGGAAGCAGCACCCGGAGGCAAAGATGGGAGTAAGGTAGCGGTGGGGAGGACGTGGGAGGCTCGGGCAGCCTAGATACTGGGGGACAAGCGGGTACCAAGCGGGCCCAGCTCAAGACAGTCAAAAGCCAGAGCCTTCTACCGGTCCCCGTCTGAGCTGAGAAGGCAGGAGGAGACGCCGTTCACATCGTCCCTATTCAAGTGCCCTATTATTGTCAAAGAAGAACTCGAGCCCTTTGTCAGTCATTCTGTGCTACGGAAATGACTATACAGTTACTGGGAGCAGGAGAGCCAACAAATCCCCAAGACAATCTGTTCTCGTGGAGTGGAGTGGAGACGTTTCAAATAAAGCCGTGTTCAGAACTTGACCAGGAGGAACCCAGGCGTAGAACTTGTCCATATAGATGGTCTTTTAAGTATAAAATTGAGGAAGTATGTACAGAAGTCACCCTAAGTCTTAGAAAGGAGTATAGAAAGGCCGCGGGGCGGGTAGGGATGTGCGGGCGGGTGCCTAGCAGTTGCAAGGGTGCGTGCTGCCCAACTGCCCGGCAGCCAGCGTGAGAATATCTTTCTTCTCTTTATGGAAGCGCAGCTCCTTGCCTGCCAGCCGGGCTTCATCCAGCTCCTGCTCGGTCGAGGCCAGCTCTCTGGTCAGCGCGCCTGGCACACTGTGCTCCCGGCTCACCCAGTCCAGTGCCATTTGGTGGCGAATGTCGTCATCCAGGGCGCGGTGGGAGTAATGGGCCAGCACTTCCTAGAGTGGAGAGCAACGTGAAGGTCACTCACAGGGCCAGGTCCGTACCACCGACCCAGCTGACCGGGACTTTGGCTTTGCAGTCCTAACTCAAGTCAGCCCTGGATGACCAGGGAAAACTCACTGGCGTATCAGGCAAAAGAATCACAGTTGAGGTTGACATAGGAAAGACTAAGAGCGAAAGGCGCTTCCCAGTGAAAGGCTTTTCGATATTCACAGCATGGTACCCGCCTCCTGCCTGCTCCCAACGGGGCAGCTACCACCAGATGCCCACCCACGGACCTCTTACCTGCCGAGAGCACTGCCTTTCCCTCATGGCCTTGAGGCTGCCGTTCCAGTGCAGCAGTTGAAAGACTGTCATTAGTTCCTGGAAGAAGATTGGACATGCCAGGACAGTGGTTTTGTATCAGGTTACGCGGGAGTAAACCCTGTACAAAGTACGTGTGTGGAAGCATCTCTGCCACCAATTCTGACATGCCATTTGGGGAGGAAGCGTGTGTGTTGGCAAGTAGTCCAGCAACCTCGCTTCCTTTCCGTGGAGGGTCACTGAGGTGGCACTTAGAGGAGGCACATGCAGGTGTCAGCAGGCTACCGTGTGACCAGGGGCTGTGGGCAGAGGTGGCACAGTACCTGGAACTCCAGCATTGACTTGCCCTTGTTGGATTCCAGCATGAATCGGAAGGCACCAATCCCTGTATTCGGGTTATCAGCTTCCTCCCTGTTGCCCTGGTAACAGAGAGCAGGAAAAGACAAATAGGTTTTCAATCAGGATTATCACTTCAAAAAACACCATCCAATAGAACTATCTATAGCACAAGCACGTTTAATTTTAAATTTTTAAGTTGCCACATTAAAGTAAAAATGAATGGAAAATTGATTTTAATGGCATATTTTAACCTCAAGTAGTCATAATATTATTTCAGCTGTAATTAGTATGAAAAAGAATAATGAAAACTTTGCATTCTTTTTCTCATACTAAGTTGTTGAAAGCCGGTATCTCTTTCACACGGCACATGTCAGTTCACACTAACCCCATTTCAAGTGGTCCATGCTGAATGTGGCTGTTCTGTTGGTCCGCAGAGACCTGTGAATTCCAGGATCATCAGACATTTGAACTTGGGTGATAGAGAAAGGCAGATCTTATCTTCCCTGTCTTACACGGGGGAGCACTGAGAGAGGAGTCTGATTGGGCTGTGGCAAGAGTGAATTCAGCATGCAGGACTGTACCAGCCTGGAGACGACTGGGCAAATGCAAGTTAACGGCAGGATGTGAGCAGCGGTTTGATCTGTACACCCGCCAGTTCTGTCTTCCACTAGTTACACGGCCTTGCAGGGGCAGAGCCTAGCGTGTGACTAAGGCCACTGTGATTAAGGCCCTGCGATACCTTGTCCCACCCGCAGGCCCAGTGAGTGCAAGAAACTAGACAGTAGAGAAGTTGCGAGCCTGAAAGGGGACTCCTTGTCGTTTTGTGAGGCTTTACCTCAGTCCCTCAGTTTCCTCAACTGTAATGTGGGGATAATCATGCATGTACTTTATAGGACTATTTTGAGAATTGCTCAGCAGTTAAAAATGCATTAATGTGGTCCAAAAACTTCAATCACATAAATTGTGGGAACGTTATTATACTGAACCTGGTATCCAGCTACACAATTCAAATCCACTCTGGTATTTGGTGGCTATTTAATATGACAGGATAGGTCCAGGCCCTGGGGCCAGCTGACACGCCTAGTTTATTCCTGACCTTTAGGTCAAGATGAGCCAAGGAAATAAAGCCAGGAGGTTACTAGGAACAGAGGGGCTCAAATTTCTTCTCCTCCCCACCCCTCAACCTCTTAAGAACTTTATTCTGCTCTTCTGAGAAAGAGAGAGGTCAGGAGCACATGAAGTTATGCTAAATTCAGACTCGCATAAGCACTTTCATGGGGTGAACAGTGTATTGCCTAAGATAAGCCGCGAACTTCTAAGTATACCGCTGTGCTAGCTTCTTCTTATTTGTTTTCATTGCACTAGAATTAACAAGAAATCAGAGCTAGTCGGACTGAGGCCTCCCTGGCGGCCTAGGGGGTTAAAGTCTCAGCACTATCACCTCTATGGCCGAGTTCCATCCCCAGCCGGGGAGCTGACCTACATATGGCACAGCAGACCCTCCTGTCTCCCTGCTGCTCCTGCAGCCGCAGCCGTGCGTTCGAGTAGATCCGCTTGTTCTGCTCCCCACTCACCACCCCCCAAACCCACCCCCTCTGGCCTATTCCCCAGTTCCATGTGGGGGAAAAAAAAAAAAGAACTGCTCAAGATCAGTCCTTATTGTTTTGTGGCTCATGAGAGACAACTTTGCCACATGAAATCCATCTTTGTGGTGAAGCAAATATCACAAAATTGGGTCTGTGAAGTGAAAAGCTAGAAGGGGTAAGGAGGGAAGGAATCTTCACTATTCGGATTTCGGGCTGTAGACAAGCAATCCTTTTCATTTTTTGCCTATAGTTACTCAACTCTATATACATTATTCAGCAACTGAAAACCTTTCCATGATATGACACATAGGACATAATGATCAGGTCTGTACAGACAACTGGGGTGTTCAGGGCAGCTTCTGGCAGCCGGGGTACTATGGGACAAAGGAGTAATCTGCCCTAGGCCTTGCTCAGCCTGAGGCTGAGGGCATCAGCATCAAAGCCGGTCTGCCAGCTGCCGGGCACAGGAGGCACGCGATCCATCATTGGGAAGTCCCACTCATGGGTCACTCCACACCTAACAGGAACAAGCTCCATGTATTCAATAAACTTTTAATCACAGAGTACTCTGTAAGTGTTAGACTATAATTAGAAAGGAATTAGAGTTAATTTAGTTCAACCTACTTATTTAACACAGGAGGAAACTCAGACCCAGAGGAACTGGGTGGCTGTCAAAAGACACAGCATAATATGCCAGACTCACCCCAGGGCGCAGCGGACCCCTCCTGGCTCGTCATCTGCTCTCCCTAGCAGTGCACTGTAGTAGATCTGCCTGTTCTGCTCCCCACGCTGTCTCCGTTGAGTCCTTTCACCCCACCCCCCTGCAACTCTGGCCTGCACCCCAGCTCTCCTATGCATAAATAAATAAATCTTTAAAAAAGCACATTTTGAAATATATATATAATTTAAAAAAAACACACATTTTGGAGTAGATACTGCTGGTGACCTACTCATCATCTATCTCCTTTCTACTATATAGAATCCTCATCTTATTCTAGTGACCACCTGCCTCCCACATGCTCAGGGAAGAGTAATTTTATCCCAGCTCCAGTTGGTAAATCCTAATCTTTGATTTTAAGGTTGGAATTCTGGCCACCGGGAGGATGAAGCAAGGTCCGCTAGAGGGTGAAGCAAGGTCCGCTAGAGGGCCTCGCAGTAGACTCCTTACTGATGGGGAAGATGGTCTCTGCCTGTCTGAGTGTAGCTACCTTGTATTCAGTGTCTGGAATGCTGTGGCCACCTGGAACCTGAGGGGCGTGTGTTCCAGGACAAAGCCAATATCTAGAGGCTGCAGAGTGGAGAAAGAACTTGGGCCAGGGGAAGATGCCATTCTTGATCCGCCGACTCCAACAGCCCTGAAATCTGTTCTACTTCTGGGCTTCCTGTCATGGTAGATAGTAAATTTCCTTCCCTTATTTAATCCCTGAAGTTAATATGAAGTGAGATTCTCTACTACTTGCATCCAGAAGCTCTGAAGCAGAGAATATGTGCTAAGTGCTCGAATATATTTTTATCTAGTAATCCTGAGTAAGATATATAATTGTATCCTGCTACACAGACAAGGAAATGAGACTTAGGTTAAGGAATTTACTCAAAGTTACATAGCTACTACAGCCATATTTTCCAAACAGTGAAATCAGAGCACAGGTCCCTAACCACTGTTTTCTATAATCCAAACTAATGTTTCGTTTTATAAAATGTTAGGTGATTTGGGAATGACAAGTGTACTTTCTCAGTTTTAATAGATTTTCACAAACGTAAAAATGCTTCTATTCCCTGAAGATACTGTTGACTGCTACTAAGATTAACAGGAATAAAATAGATGGGTCCCAAGTAGAAGAGAGAATAATTTATGGTTTAAGGTGTTCAACACTAATCACAAAAGTGGCAACTGAAGCGGTTTAGTATTTGTACTTACATTATAACCAAATGCAAATAGACCAGAAAAAGAAACCCGTTCTGAGTTCATCACCCTAATGATGAACTGTGGGAGGGAGGAAGAGAGCAGAGCTAATCCCTAAACTGTGCCTCTGCGCTGCAGAGTAGCCTGGGGCTAGCCGGCTCCAGGAGTGGCTACCTCACTGCAGACCAGCCTCACTGCAGACCAACTTCCTGTTTAGCTGCTGCTCCTGTAAAGTCGGCATAATCACAGTACTTAACCTCATACAACTGCGAGGTTGTGAGGATAAAATGAGATAAAATGCAGCTAAATCCCCTGGAACAATCCCTGGTCAAGGTAATCACTCAGTTAGGGTTAGCGGTGGTCATTTGAAAGAACAGATGTTCTCTTTAGAGAGTAAAGAAGGAAGACTGCAAAAGTCAGCATATAGCCAATGAATAGGAGAAATAATCCCCCCTTTCTGGAAGGAAAAAGACAAGACGTTGCATTATAAAGTGTTCTTTATTAATAAGATGAAGTCAGTGGGGCAGGAGACAAGTGACAATACAAACAATTATCAAAAAGAAAAGAAAAGAACAGTGAAGGAAGAAGAGTCTTAAGCCAAATTTGAGAACAGCAAAATTCAAGCTCAATTTTTATTTTGGACTATCTGGAAAGTTGGATAAAATTTGAATTAAAGAGAGATGATGAAAGAAACAACATCAACAAACATATAAACACACATGTAGAATTAGAGACTGAGACATACGGAGCCTGTAACACAAGAATGACAGGGAGTAAACAGAAGAGAAATGTAGACTGGAAAGAAAACAAGAATGTGTGCTCGGTCTCCCAGTGAGTCACCCGGCTCCCAGCCGGCAGCTCGCCCATCCCCCACGCTCCTTCCTTCCAACTCCAACTAACTTACATTGAAAGATGCCAGGGCCTCAGAGACACTCTTCTCAATGAACTCATCAGTGATTCTTCGGGAAGGATGTTCATTAAACACAGAGTTCATTAGTGCGATCTTTGCAGCACTCCGCCGGGCTTCAGCTTTTGTGGGGCAAAACTAGTCAGGGGAGAAAGAGAAGAATATATGTGTGTGAGCAGTGGGAGGGAAACACTGGCATCGAAAACATTTGGACACTCTCTGGACAAATCAGTTTGTTCAACATACTCTCCAAAATTTTTATTGTAAAATAGTTGAGGCATTTGGAAACCTAATTTAGATCCAACATCCTGAAGTCATTAAGGAACTGGAAATGTCTGCAGCTCATACCAGCTTGAATGCAGAATGAGGAAGGCGCTGAAGTCAGCACATAACCACTGGATGTGGAAAATACTCCTGTTGGAACTGTCAACGAATTAATTATCAAAGCCAGATCCGGCCGGCCTCTAAGGCCTGGAGCTCGCTTCTTGCGCTGTGGACAGACAGGCCTTCGCATCGCTCTGACAGTGTAAGATTAGACAGGCTGCCTCTGAGGGCCTCAGAGGCAGAGGGCCTCGCAGAGGGCCGCAGCCTCTACCAGAGCACCCTCGGAGATTCCTGGGCTTCACTTTTACTATGAGAGGGCAAATTTCTCCAATAATGTAGTGAGTCAGGTGCTGTCCCTGAACAGTCTGAGGTCTGAAGAAGGAGTTATAGCCCGTCCCACGCCACCCCCAGTCAATGCAAGAGGAAAAAGGAAAACTGCAGGCGGAAGGCAAGACACATTTTAAAATTCATGTTTTGTTTTTCCATTGTACCCAACATAGGATCGGAACAGGTCTGATTTTCAGACGTCATAAAGCGTCCAACTTCAGACCCCAGGCACCTCTATTCCTCCACTGGCCACCGTCCCTGGCTGGCCCCGAGCTCCCCCCCTGCACATGGTCAGGCCTAGCGGGAGGAAAGTGCTGCTGAGGCGTTACCCAGGGTCTGCTCCCTAACCTGCCTGTGCCAGCAGCTCTCCGTTTCCTTTGCTGACACCTGAGTGAGAGGTGGAGCTTGGTACACTGACTTTCAGTCTTGCTTCTTCAGTTTTTCTGTTTCTACCCCACTCTGCTCATAGCCTACTCTGCTGCAAGCGCTGTGTCTGAAAAGCCATCTACGAAGGAAACTACCGGGAGGAATTCCACCTGCCAAAGTGGATATAATATAAAATAAAAATATGAACCAAAAGATGCCAGAACAGATGCCTTTACTCTTTAAGGAGGTAACAGAATGATCCAGTTATGAACATCGTCAAACAATCATCAAATCCTTAGTCAACAAGATAATTAAATGGGAGAAGGAAGGGAAGATCTTACTCTGTAGAAGAGAACGCATAAATGGAGTCATCCTGGGCTTAGCTATTCATTTCTTTGAAGTAACTGGAGTTCTCAGGGAAAAAATTTTAGTGACCTGTTTTGGAGTGAAGCTTCCTTGGGGTTATTCTGCTGTGTCAGAAGCGGAGCTGCAGGGGCACCGTGTGACACATTGATTAGGCGAGCTGGACACTGAGTTAGGGGCAAGGCTTTGAAATGGAACGAGGAAAATTTTAAATGACTGAATAAGAGGAGACACACACCATCTCATCGCTGCCTCCATGGGGCATGGTCCAGTAAGAGAGTGAAATCAGTTACATGTGTCGTGGTGAGAGAAGTGAGAGGGGAATTCAAGGTGTTACAGAAGCACTTAAGTGGCGGTTGTAACTTGGGGGTTATGCAAGCCATCGCTATGTAAACCAGAATGGCCGTGTCTGGGCTCTGAATTCCTGTTTAAAGTCTAAGTTGACTTCTAAAAGGCTACCTTCTGCAAGGGACGATGTCCACCTCTGATTATATTATTTACACTCGTCAAATTTCTCATTACCCTAGAATAGCAACCACTCTTCCCATCATCATTTAGTATGACAAGGCTTTTATATAAATGTAGAATCCAATACTACAAAAGACTGGAAATAATCTAACCTATCACCTTCAAATCACAGGAGAAACTGAGGCCCAGAAAAGTTTTCTGCATTGCCCTGCAGGCAGTGAGTGAAACGAGGATTTGCATCTCCCAACTCTTAGATGAATCTGATTTCTACAACACACAACATTTGATGTCTCAGAAAACTTAAACATTTTTCAGCTTTCTTCAGAACTGCCTAGGAAAAGGCACTGAGAGAACATTACCTCTATAACCTCAAAATGAGATGGCAGAAAGTTTCATCCGAAGGTGGCTTGGGAGCTGGTAATCTGATACATGACTGGGTATAGTCATATTCATAACTGCTCAAATTCAAAATGGGTGTGAGTTTTCGCAGGCTGAAAGAAGAGTATGCAGCACTGGGCACTGTGCCTCAGATGCTTCCCACAATGACTTGGTCCTCAAATAGGTGGCTTGAGAGAGACTGAATGGGCAAAGGGATGGAGACAGTCTTTCTTAGCACACTACAAAGTGTTCATCTTTGCTCCTGCTGCCCCACCACTCTTACCTGGAAACTCCCAAAGCAGCTTCCCCCAGGCAGAGTGACATAGCAGACGTAGGGAGGGCTGTTGGAGGGAACCATTTCATAAACTACGAGGGCCCCATTCTTCAGGTCAGCCCCACGGGACTGTTTCATCTGCCAGAATTCCTGAAGGGCCTCCACCACATTCACTACAAACGAGAAGTAGTCAAGGTTAGTGATGAGACGGCTCAGTACGAGTCTGTACTGAAGATACAGCACCGTGCCCTCCTTGGCTCCTGTGACCACTAGAAAGTCCTTAAGTGGATGAGCCTAGAGTGTGATTAAGGCCACTGGCCTAGGAAGACACCGTGTGCCAGTCCCCCCACCTCTGTGGTTCATATTGTGACCACTTCTGGACCCCAAAGGAGAGCGCCCTAAATATTAGAGGCCGCAAATATCAGTTTCCCTAGGTTTTAGGAGAATACCGCAAATATCAGTTTCCAAGGCTGGCAGATCAGTACCACTGCCTGATGTGGTGCAGGTGGATCACCCACAATAGTCAGCTTGCCTCGGCTAATAACCACCGCAGTAAAGTAAGCACTGACATTCAATGAGCACTCACTGGGTGTCGGGCCTTCTCTAAACTTTTTTTAAAGATGGATTTATTGATGCATACAGAACTGGGGTATAGGCCAGAGGTGCAGGGGCAGTGAGAGGATTCACCAGAGACAGAGCAGAGAAGCACACCGCTGAGGGGAGCAGCGCTGGGTCAGGAGAGGTCTGCCGCGCCGTGTGGTCGCCTCCGGGGCTGGGACTGAACTCGTGCTGAAGCGGCTGCCTCTGGCTTCATATGCTGTGCACCAGGAGGTGGGGGCGGGGGCCCAATCCCTAAACTCTTTACCCACTTTGATCACAAGCCTGTGAGATAAGCACTGGCATAATCCCCATTGCCAGGTGAGGGAAGTGAGGTGCATACAGGTTAAATTCCTCGCCCAAGGATGTAACAGGCAGAAAGCAGCAGAGCAAGCATCCGAACCCAGGCAGGCATGCTCTTGCCCACTCTGGACACTGCTATTCGGGGAGACTTGGCCCGACAGCCATCCCCGCGCCTGTGCTTCCGGGCACCAACCCGGAGCCACGTTCCTTTGCGTCCCGGAGCACCATGTGAAGACACAGGAGGAGGAGAAGGGCAGCGGGAGCGCACCCTTCCGCACGGCGTGAAGGGCTTGGGAGGAGCATACACTGAGAGGAACCCCACTCTCTCCCACTTCTTTATATCTTACCAGGTGCCTCAAGATTTCAAGCCCTGACTGCTCTTTAGGTGAGCCGTTTCTCCGGGCTGTTTACAACAGGAAACCTGAGGGATGAGGTGACGTCTGGGACCAAGACCCAGGCTGTTACCGCGCGCTGTGAAGTGGAAGGTTCCCCGGACCAGCTTCTCTCCTGTGAGGTCCTCGCTTCAGCCGAGCAAACACCTCGCTGTGAGCAACGCAGTCCTTTGTCTCGGGCCCAGAAGTCTCTTGACTTCTGCCAGCATCCATGAATCAGGAACCGACTATTGATTAGTTAAAATGGGAAAAGCCGGGCCTTCCTGGTGGCACAGCGGGTTAAAGCACTGCACTGAGAAGCTAAAGCCGCTTCCGCATGAGTTCGATTCCCGCCTGCCCCGGAGGTGACCACATGGCGCGGCAGACCTCTCCTGACTGCCCGCTGCTCCCCTCAGCAGTGGACCTCGTCGATCTGCCTGTTCTGCTCCCCACTCTGTCTCTGGTGAATCCTCTCACCCTCCGCATCTCTGGCCTGTACCCCAGTTCTGTATGAATAAATAAATAAATCTTTAAAAAAAAAATGGGAAAAGCCAAACTACACAGCCAACACGATACTTACTCCAGAACAGTTTTCCTCGTCCCAAAGCTGGGCTCATTCAATTCACGAATATACACTAAGTGCCTACTCTGTGCTTGGTTACCTGCTGGCGCCAGGCACAGCAGTGAGCAAAATCCTGTTCCCTTTCCTCAAGCGGCTAGAGTCTAACAAAGGAGAGGCGTTTTAACCAAATGGTCTCGAGCTGAAAAACTGCAAGTGTGGCAAGTATTAGAAAAGAGTAGTGCATGGTGGGAAATGAAGGCGCATCGAGCTAGTTACGGGGGTCAAAGAAAGCGCTCCTGACAAGCAGTGCACAAGTTGAGAGAACGGGGCTCCCAGAAGGTGGGCCGGGATGCTCCAGCAGAAGGAAGGTGTGCATAGGCCAGCGGGGCGGCAGGACCTCAGGCTCGGGACTGGAAAGGCAGTGGGGCGAGGGAAACGCAGGGTGACTGGAAAAGGCCAGGGGTCGGACCGAGCTGGGTCTCCCAGGCCACGGTGGAGAATTTATTGTCTTTATGCCACTGATGGGTCTCAGCGGAGGGGAACTGAGATCAGTTTGTCTTTGACAAGGGCACCTTTGACTCCAGGGCTCCAAGCATTTCAAATGTCTTTAGCTAAAGACATTTAACTCATGATAATAAATGATCACATGCATTCTCTGGTCCCTTCCCACATGACCACAACAAGGGCTCACGCTTCCTTCCTACCGGTTAGTACAGGTCTGCCTAGGAGAAGACACCAGATGGGATAGACACGCCAGGAATTACTGGCAAGAAGAAGGAGACAGGGGGGTGGGGGTGGTGCTGGAGATCTGACTCTGCTGAGGGGAGAGGGGAGGGAGGGGCGTGGGGGGGCCTGCTGCGCACCCCAGGAAGGTTTGGCCAGACCAGGGGGAAGTTCTGGTCCAGGAACCCCATCTCCCTTGGGGCTCCTCAGTCAGCAGCTCTGCTGGGCCCAGTCATTGGCTAGCAGCAGCCTGGAGATGGGTGGCCTCAGTGTCCATGTGGACCCCAAGGGGAGCTGGGGCGGCCAGTGTGCACCCCGTAGCTGGAGCGGCAGCGTCATGGCTGCCACATGTGCAGTAAACAAAAAACTGAACATTTACTGGGTGCACAGCTCTCGTCGAGGCACTGACGTGCAGAGAACTACCAGGCTTTCCTGCCCAGCCGGGTGTTCGAAATCCAGTGGCCGGTACTGACAGTTCTCTCACCTGCTCTGTACCTGAAGCACGCAGTCCCTGGGCCACCAGACTTTGAGAAGCAGTGTAACTTCTTTTCTAGCCTCCTATATTTAACTGACTTTTCAGAATCTTCGTTCCTCCCTTAAAAGACAGCATGAAAAAGAAACTCTCGTTCCCACCCTTAATTTTGGCAGGGGCTCTCCGAAGGTCACTGCTGCCCAGAAAGCTTAGCCACCTTTGTTCTTTCCATTGAGATCTTTTCAACCCGCGTTCCCTCTTTGAGACAATTTGGCACAATGGGCTGGGTGACAGCTCTCCTGACATGCAAACAACAGGGAGAATATGGAAGTAGAGGGAAGGGAGGAGGCCTGCGAGTGGGGAAGGGCCATGCAAGCGTGTGTGTCCTTTCTAGGTCCAGCTAAACCCCTCTTGGCACAGCGTGCGGACTGCTTTTCAGTGATCACTCAAAGCCGAAGGAAAGAGGGAGCCTCACTTCAGAAATGTGAGGATGAAGTGGGAAAATGAACACTGTGGTCAGGAAAAAAGAAGTAAGTTGTGATCTGCATTTGGAAATCTCATGGGCTGAATCAGTTTTAGAGCCAAAGGGACTTTTTTTTAAGAGCCCAGAGCGGGTTTAGAAGTCATCTAGTTCAGCTCGGGTGAAGGGAGGGCGAGTGACTGGCCTGTGGCCACGCCGTCTGACAGAGTCGGGCTTGAAGGGCGAGACCCGATGCCGGCGTCTTTTCCAATTTGGAAATTTTTTTTTTAATTTTTTTTTTTTTAGATTTATTTATTCATATAGAACTGTGGTACAGGCCAGAGATGCGGAGGGTGAGAGGATTCACCAGAGACGGAGCATAAGGCAAAACAGGCAGATCAATGAAGTACACTGCTGAGGGAAGCAGCGGGCGGGTCAGGAGAGGTCTGCCACGCCATGTGGTCACCTCCGGAGTAGGCGGGAATCGAACTCATGTGGAAGTGGCTTTGGCTTCTCAGTGCTGTGCTTTAACCCGCTGCACCACCAGGGAGGGCCAATTTGGAAATTTTAACCTGGGCTCAAGGTCCAGGTCATGGCTGAGTGTCGTGGGTTCACGACCCCTGTAAAACTGAGGGAAACTGCAGATGTGCTCATGAGCATTTGTGTCTGAAACCAGGGTCTCAGGGCTGACACAGGCCTGGGGACGGAGCAGTGAGGTGGGGAGGCCGACTTCCCGTGAGGACTGCCTTCGGGAAGTCACCCGCAGAACGCGGGGTTGAAAGGGACAAGAAAAACTAAGGTAACAGGAACATTTAGGCACTTCCACCACAATGTCAAATAACTACCAAAAAAGAATGATTTTATTTTTGCCCTTAGGAGATAAAATATTAGATAAATATCTAAGTGGAGTAACAGTAAAAACATTAAAACAAAACATGAAACTAAGTAAATATTTTCTATCATGAGGGTAAATAAAATTTTGTGGAGGAAGCATAAATAAATAGATAATAAATAGATAATGGAATTGGGAGGGGAGAAGGCTCTCTCTGATTCTACAAGATGGCAAGACCAGGCTGGCTTCACTTAATTTACATCGTAGTGGAAGAGGGGAAACTGATTAAAAATATTTACTGTGACATTGCCTATTTAAATCTATAGACAATACCACTGAATAACCTGTAGTGCACAGGCTCTTGGAGCAGGATTGCCAAGGGGCAGTGACTTTGGGGAGGCCTGGGATAGGCTGATTAATGGCCCCTGACAAGATGTCAGGTCCTCATCCTTGGAACCTGTGAATGTTACCTTATATGGTCAAGACTTTGTAGAAGTGATTAGGGGAAGGCTCTTGCGATGGGGAGGTTATCCCGGGGCCCTACATGCATTCAGTGTCCTGAGGGAAGCAGAGGGCGATGCCGAGAAGCCGAAGAGAAGGCCCCGTGACGGAGACAAACTGGTGGAATGCTGGCACCCAGGAATGCTGGCGCCCACCTGGAAGACGCCAGCAAACTGCAGGGAGGAAAAGGAACGATGAAACAGAAAAGGCTGCGCAAGTCGCATCTGTTCAGTGCAGGGAGCAGCCAGGCAGTAGCAGTATGTGACTGAAGGGAAACCAGTCACTGCAACAGGAGAGGAGAGATAGGTTTGAAGAGGGCGAGGCAGAGCTACAGAACCAGGAGAGTGGTTGGTCATCCCATCCTCGCGGAGTTTAAGGGCTGACCCGGTCGTATGCCAGGGGAAGGGCAGAGGGGACGGTGCCACACCAGTGCCCTCGGGCATTTTCAGAGGGTTTCTGAACATGTCACAATGGCGACCACTTGCGTCCCATGTTCTACAAGCTTTACATTCATTAACTCATTTCGTCCACACAAAACCATCAAAAAGTGACCAGGGTGGTGTGGGCCCTCCCTGGGGGCGCAGCGGGTTACAGCCCAGCACTAAGAAGCTAAAGCCACTTCCGCATGAGTTCGATCCCCGCCTGCCCCAGAGGTGACCACTCCAAGCATTTCAAATGTCTTTAGCTAAAGACATTTAACTCATGATAATAAATGATCACATGCATTCTCTGGTCCCTTCCCACATGACCACAAC